TCCTTCACGGCTGCCAACGCCTCACCAAGAACCTTACTTGCACTTGTCAAAAAACACAAAGTTAGTTGGCGTTATTCAAGTATTTATACTCAGATCGTATCTCTTGTTTCAGTTTGATTACCAAAAAATGTCACATTAAATGTCTTCTTGATTGCGTTATTAAAAAATTAAATGCCTTCTTGATTGCTTTATTCCAAAAACAATACTTTTTTTGCAAAACCTTTCAAAAACTAAATCTTCGAAATGTTCTTCGAGTGTACAATAGCAAAATTGCAGAGCGCAGCGTACAGTATGATGAAACGTCGAGTGGGTAGTTCGGAGGAGACTGTACTGGTGCGAGCGGTACGTGATTGGCCGTCGTGGCTATTCCATCATCTGCCGTTCGATTATGCGGTGCGAGTTGTGGATTGCTTCGTGGTCGAGGGACATAAGATGCTGCTTCGTGTTGCGCTTGCGATCATTTACATATGGTCCAAAAAGAGTAAACGACATGTCAGTGGTTTCGCTTGTCGACTTTTTTTTTTGCTGAAGGCTTCGTTTTTGAATCTGAAATTGAGGACTTTATTTTTATTTATTTGAGTGTACAATGGTTCATTGTGCGACACTTGAGTGATGCTAATGAGATTTATTCTCATCATTAGCATATTCAATATAGATGGAAATTTGAGCACTTTGGAAATTCATTTTTCTTCTTACTAGTTTTCCTTTGCATTCATAATCATCTCTCGCAAGAACTTGTCATTATTGTTCAGTTCCAGAAGTTTTCAAAAATAAAAGAGAACGCAATAGTTTTCAGCAGAAAATTAGAGAAAAAATGAACAGGAACTGAAATAAAATGAGAGATTATTAGCAAACGAATTAAAAAATTACTTACAATTAGTATAAATCTGTCTCGAGATTCAAATTCATCGATTTTCTTTGCTTTCAAATACCGTATTCAATTGAATCGTAGAGGAATTAGTAATTGAAGTCGTTTAGTTCAGTTCATTTCCGACTGTTTTTTTTTTGTATTGTGTACACAATCGTTCACTGGAGTTTTATTTTAATTGTCAGTTCTATTGAAAGTATTAACTTACCATCGAATTGCAGCATGTGGATATGACATCAAAAAGTGTTGAAGAACGCGCTGACGCGTTGGCGACCGAGTTTGCGGAGACAGCTTCAAATTGTCCCGTTTCCATACAAACACNNNTACATTTTGTTTACACTCTTCCAATATTCTGCTTCACTTTCCCAATTTTCTACTGCAGTTCACCACATTCGCCGTCATTTCTTGTGATTATGGGACGATTTCTGAGCTGTGAACAACTAATTGCTATTATTCGATCAGTTTTTCGGAAGTTCTACTTTCCTCTTTAGTGATATTTCATGACAGCAGTCCATTTTCGTGAGACATTTTCCAACGAAATCAGTTCACTTCAACGGTGAATTACGACAAATTTCAGGTTCGGGGTGATAAAAAATCAGTTGGTGGTATGCATCGAGTGCATTCACCTCCACCGACGTTATACACCAGTCCGTTCACATCGCAGATAGTCAGCATGGAAATTGCCACTGAAATAATGGCCGCATTGCCGAATCGTTTTCAACTGGAAACACCAAAATTGCTCTTTCGTCTTTCGGATGATGGATCCAGTTTTACTCAGCTCTGGACTAAGTTCGTTTCTACGCATATTACGTGATTTCTTTGAAAAGAAGAGTTGATTCCTTTGAAAAGACGAGTATTCCATCGGGAATTGTGCTGTGCTCTTACATTTGAAGTGCAATAACTGTACTGCTGTGTTTACGAATGCCACTTTTAGTGGGAATCTTGAATGTGATAAAGTGAATTTTATAGCTGCATAACATATGGACAAATAGAACTCTGATAGTGTCTCACTTGAGAAGATAAATTTTAGGTCACATAGCCTTCAAATCACAGTGGCTGTTTTGCATGAAATTGAAAAGAAGTTCGTTGATTTTTTCAGAATCGATGACGCAGAACAAACACTGTTGGGGATTCAAACGTCGACAGGCGAAGTGTTTGGTGCGTACTGTAGTGCGAGTTGGTCGGAACGAAAAGACGCTCATGAACGCACACGATCACGTTACTTTGGTACCGGCGAGTCGTTCCTTTGGAAGGTGGACAACAAAACGAATAAACTCACCATCTATCCTTGGGCTGGTAGTCAGAGCGGACAGCGGCTCATCGAGAATTGTCCTCAGATGTTCATGGCTGCCGATGAGAAATGCATTGTTGTGAGTTGTTGTTGTTGTTGCTTTCGTTCAGNAAGGTACCACCTTTCTGAAAGGAACAATTACGAGTTACAATGCCATTACCTGACTTATACTTATTCAGTGTTAATTTCTAGTGGAATTCAAAAGGAAATGGTGAAACGTTAACTCGTTTTAAACATATCTCTCTTATTCAGCTGTAATTTCTTGAGATTAGCAGTATGATTGTGAAGAGCTGGAACGAGCTTCTTTCCCTAGTAGATGTGAAGCTCCAAGTGCAAAATTTGTGAAACAAGAATGAGAGAATGTGCTATTGTGCAGGTTGGCAGTGGCGGTGGTGATGCGATCGCGATAAGGGATGAACTCTTCAAAGGGATCAGCTCGCCGTGTGCCACATTCGCGAGTCCCGCGTTAGCTGATGACCGTGAATTTATCATTTCACAACTTGAAGTGTTCGACGTTCGAAGTGGACCAACTTGAAATGGACATCATTTGCACCAAACAAAAACTGAATTGATACGTGATCTGAGTCCAATTTGAATCATCCGATCATGAGAAAGTCTTTCTGAAACCATTCAAGATACCGATTAGGTAATATTCCTTTTCGTCTAATGAAGAGCAACTCATATATCATAACTTGATCAGTCAGAAATGATCGATTGATCACGTATCGTTTCTTGGGTTTTTCTCAAAATCCGTGATTTTTCCATTGGTCTAGTGATCCGGTAATAATTGAGTCAAATTTGTTCCTGTTTGTCAGTTAAATGAATTTATTGAAGTGAGATTTTAGGCGAGTTTGCAGTCTTTCGGAAAGTTGTTGTAAAAACTGTGAACGTTGTTGCGTTTGGTGCGAACGTGTAAATAAATGCGATACAAATTTCAAAAGTTTCGAAATTGTATCCGTGAGGGATCGTTTTCACGTTTAGAGAGTGCATTTGCATATGTGTAAATTCAATCGATTGATTTCGTCGGTCATTAGTTGTACAGATAATTGCTCAGGTCTTCCACCTTGGTTATATTAATCCTTGTAATGATTTTGCGACTGCTGAAGTCCGCATGCGAGGACTTCATTCTGAAAACACCATCGCCATTTTCTCTTGTACAAACAGTAGTTCTATCTGTTGAGATTCATCCTCTTCCATGTCTAAGTTATGAAAGAGCTTTACTTTTTTTTTCTTTTCTCATTATCGCTGTAGTTATGATTTGTTCGTTTCATGTGCAAACATTCAAGTAGTGCCACTCTTTGGCATGATAGCATTTGAACTTCAACTAAAACACAATCTTAACTGTACGTTCTCCTCAAGACGAAGAACTGATTTTTTAAAATCTATCACCTTAAATGTACAGTTCAAGAACTGTCCATGTATTCACGTACTTGAAGTGTTATCCAGTTCCGTTCAATTCATCAACTATTTAAACTGGATGGCATTCATAAGAGAGTACTTTCTGAAATTGTTATGACAACATTCCATGCTGACTTCTGTTCTATGAATAGGTCGCTTTATTGGTGTTCTCATTATGCGTTGCATTTTGATTCATTCTCTAAGAATTCTTAATCTGATACCGATGAACAATGTGAGTGTTGTTTGTTGGTAATCATTATTGTTGATGTCACCATATTGTAGTCACTGGAGCAGTTCTGTTTCTTTAATGTTTGTGTGTTTTTCAATGTTTCGTTCTTCCCTGAACTGAATGATCAGTTTTGGTCTTTTGCATTGTGATAATGAAACATTTATTTGTCAAATTCAACTGCTTTTTAAACTTTTAATTAATATTGTTTCTGGTCAATGTATTAATTCTCATTTGCAGTTGTTCATATTAACAATGTGTTGTCTCGTCGGTTGCTGATCCTGTTTTGTATATCCATTGCGTGTGTATGTACTAGAGTCAATAAGTGATGAATATTATACGATATTGATAAATTCATCCATTTCAACGTCTTCATTGGTCATTTCACATTTTCATTAAGGCTTTTTCCAGTATTTCTCATAAAGGCTTCTCCATTCACGTCTTCAGTTAAATTGAGAGAGTTTCTTCAGTCCTATGTTTGGCGAAACAGCAGTTGAGGATTCGACGAGCAAGATGCAACCATTGCAACATTTTAAATTTGTGTGTTCGAACAGTTGCTAATTTAAATAGTTCACTGAGTTCAGTTTTCGTGCTGAGAGTTGCTAATTCAAAGGCGGTCAAAACATCATGCACGTCCTCGAAACAAAATGAACCATGATAGAACAGTTGCTGAAGTGGATCAGTTAGCTTATCCTTAATGGATTCAGGTTCAATTGTACATAAACTCAATCAAAAACGGATGTTTCAATGGGTGTCACATGCAGAAATTATGCGAATTGCCATATTATCATGTGGGTACCGAAAAGTGAGCTAGCTCACGGCTGCTTGTTTGCTCAATGTTTGAAAGAAGAACACCGTAGAAATGTGCAAAATTATGCAGCCAACCTGGTTGTCTCTGATGTGAGACTGACAATGTGTATTTCGCGTTCAGTATGCATGCAGCATTCCGCTTTGCAAATGTGCATTTATCATGTGCTCAAGAAAATGTCATCAAAATATATGCTGGTAGATCCTTGTTGAATGTGCGTATTTGTTATTGCGAAACGACCAAATCAGTCAGTCAGTCAGCAAAAACTAGCAGAATAGAAAGTACGAACAAGTGAGGGGTGGACAATGGAAAGGCAATTGCTTTTGCCATCTGCTCATTAATGCGGAGCAGATCCGTGAGTGAAGTGGATGGATGGATGTCGTCTGATCAGCATTTCAATAATTCATATCCAGTTTAATGGCATTCTTAAATTGTTAAATGTTGTTGCAGAACCGGTTGAAAAGGATATTCAGCGTAATGAACGAAACTATTTAAGCGCCATCAGATGGATGCATCATGGAATAGTGCAAAGTGCGATCACCAGTGGTGTGTACCGATTGGCGATCATGCACGCAAAATCATGCGCTGTCTCGGCGATAACGCTCTCGGTTATCACCGTTATGTTCATCACGTTCCAGTTTCATTCGTTATTCGCCTCAATGTCATTAATCCGTTCAAGCCTTCAGGCACATATGGATGAGTTCAATGTCATGCAGGTGTGTTTCAAGCAACCATATCTAGCCAACTTTTCATTCATTTTGTACAATTTTTTAATTCATCCACGTTTTTGTGGAATGAGTTGTAGCTTTCGAAACTGATACCATACAAGTTTAGAAATCCTTTTTGTAACATTCCCTCCAAGAAGCGATTTGATGTGTTAAGCGATGAGACATTATTTATCGCAGGATGAGGTTTGGACTGAACTCATCAGCGTCAGAACAGATAANTGAAGAATGAATGCCTTATGAATGAATGTTTGATACATCCAATCCAATTCGTACCGATAAGCAAGAGCAGTGAAGGTGTTGATTGTTTGAAAATGTTTTGTGTACAGAATTAAACCATTGCAGAATGCGAAACAGAAAATCGCTGTCCACCGGGGCCACCAGGAAGACCTGGACAAGATGGCGTCGATGGTGCTCCGGGACGACCCGGACCTCCTGGTGAACCAGGAGAACCTGGTATAGCTCCACAAACGGAACCAAGAGACTTGACCACATGCCGTGTATGCCCTCCAGGACCAGCTGGACCACGAGGATATCCCGGCGAACCTGGGCCACCTGGACCCGAGGTTTGCATATTCCAAACTACTCATTCATTTATCAGTCCGACCGAATACTTACGATTGATGAAAATTGAATTGTGCATCTTTCGCTAGTTAATGCTAAGAAGAACTCCAAATTATGATGCACACCACTGATGGTGGATTTTGCAGAAGAGTACTGCCTAGCAACACCTCACACTTTGAGCAGAAATTTTTGAGTGGCTCATGCCAAATACTCACGAGATTGCTCGGAGTTCATCGCTCACTACTCGCCACAAAAGTGCTATTTGCAACTGCTCAAATGAGCGTTCACTGCCCATGCTCACATACTCGTTCCCAACGCNGCACTTGGTCCAAGTGGACCACAGGGTGAGCCCGGAGAGCCTGGCCCACCTGGAAAAGATGGACCTCAGGGTGCGCCTGGACGTGACGGTATTCGAGGAGTGCAGGGGCCACCCGGCGATCCTGGAAGGCGTGGTCCTATGGGCCCGAAAGGATTCAAGGGACCACCTGGAAACCCCGGAAAGAACGGTCCACAAGGACCTCCAGGTCCTCCTGGAGAACCTGGAGCACCTGGTAAGTGGATGGATACCTTTTCAAGAACCTCTCATTAAAATTGCTGGAAGTTCGATAAGTTTTTGATGATTTACTGCATGCTGAAAATAGTTTTTCCAGCGTTGGCTTCAAGATTTTCCTATTGTTCGGCAACAGTTGTGCGCTCTCGAGGCCTGTAACCAAGGAATACAAGTATAAATTAGGGGTATTTCCAGTCTATCCATTCCACTTGTTTGCAGGTCAAAAGGGTGTCGCTGGTCCAGCTGGACCAAAAGGCATTACTGGCTCGCCTGGGGAAGATGCCGGTTATTGTCCGTGTCCACAGAGACGACGAAGACTCAAGCAGAAAACCTAAAAGCATTCACTGCCAAAGGACACGTTGCTTCAAATCGCTCAACAAATTCTATGAAATATTCTGGCTATTCATCGTATTATTTGTGTTAAAAAACTTTTCTCGCCATTAATTCTGAACGTGCTCGTAATAAGTACTGCAAACTAGTGACCGCACTTCCATCTTATACGCACAAAATTTTGCTCTCATTATAATACGTTTTTTGAATGTAATGACTCTTCTCAAAAATCAGCGTCAAGGTCTCTGCATTCTTATTGTATAGCAACACTCAATGCACGTCCTAAAAAGAAACTCATTTTATTGGACTGAGTTCATTCATTTGCATTCAACTGCTGAATATTCATTTGATCAGTCACCGGGCATTATTAACGAACTCGAAGAATTGTCAAGAGCTGCAGGAGATCTGTAATTTCACGTAGACCAGAAGCAGTAACAATTAAGTGAATAGCACCCGTCATCTTCCAATGTATAATGTCGATTTCGTTTGGACGATCTTATGATGTGTAATTTCAAACAAAATCAGTTCAAATCATTCAAAATTCTTCCCATGCAATCCCCACTGTGGGCTTGTTGTTAATCCAATTGATTCATCAGTTCTCCAGAAGCATGATATTTCTCAAGGCAAGTAACAGTTTCGTTTACATTGGAAACGTTTACAATTCGGCTCAGCACCAAGTACTTATAAATCCGAAATATACATATAATGGCGAATAAACGATGGAATAACTCCTTTGAATTTATTGCAGTAATCGCAAAAAAGAACGAGTGCACTGAGATCGTATTTGCACAAAAGATCTTGATTACAGCCAGCAGTGAGACAGCAACTCATCGAACGTCGCATAATGGCGAAATGAAAATCAATCGTTTCACAGTTACGAATCTTTGAGAAAGCAGTCGATTGAGTTACTGACTTTCCGATGAGTGGGCAGCAGTGATGAGCAAGCTATTGAAAGAAAAACTACGCCAATTTTTAATTCGCTGGGAAAATATCTTTGTTGCGCTAAAAATAATCCGACAGTAGCACCGATGGCGAAAAAGTAGCAAAAAATTCTCGTTGAAAGTACCGTTAATCATTAGTTTTCGTTAAACATAGAATAGCATTACTTTCCATTCCACCAAAGAAAAAGGTAGTTCCGCTAGTTACGGAATATGGAGTAGCACTCTAATACCCATTGCTGATGAGCAGTTGTAGACAGCTTCTATAAATTAGGTTCACTAGCTAAATTGAGGATTTGCTTAAACAAACATTCGAAGCATTCGGAAGCATTGCGACAATTTGCAAGGGTCAGCACAGCAGATTCTCACCATTCGCGCATTTTCTGCTGAGAATGGACGTTCCTGAGTGAAGTATTTCCAGAATATGCGACTATTCTTTCGTTCACATAGTTCACTTCAGTTGCATGAATAGTCGACAATTTGCTTGCTTATCCTTATGGTTAGCGATAGCACATATCCCATTTGTATAATGTCGAAGAGTCGAAAAGCACTGCAAAATGATTTGGACCGATTCGACGACAACACGGAGTCTGTCTTATTCGGTCGACAAAGCGTGCTGTTTCTGCTTCAGCAAGCTGCTTGCTTGTAAATACAGTGTGAGAAGTGATAAAGTGCATTTTCGATTGTGGTGATTACTATCGAAACACAAAGTCGACAAATGTTGTTTCACAGCATAAAAGTGCGTTCATTCTATTCATGAAGAAGTTATTTGCATATGACACATTCTAACATACAGTAGAACTGAGTGAGACGTTATTTTCCAACAAAATTTGTCGTATTTAGTGCATTTCTGTTTGATTTTCGATATTATAAGGTTGCACAGAGCAAGGAGTACATCGTAATCAAACCATAAATAGCCGCCACAAAAGGTACATATCTGTGCAGTTCTATTGCTATAGGGAATTGCAACTATCGCAATACGTGTGTCATGGTCTGATGCAAAAATGTATTCACGGGCATAGGGGACGCATTGTCAAATTCCTGTGTGGAACAGAACTGAAACACCAAATGATAGTTCACTTGGAAAAAATTCCTTGACCTTGTAGTGTGCAATAGAGTTGGTCTTTTCTAAAAGTTGCATTTTTCGATTTCATTCATTCGATGGCAATATTAATTTGTGAACATAGGCGTTTCGATGAAAAGCTTGAGTTGAATGAATTCGGTTCCAAACGCCGGTTATCTTACAGTATTCAGCTACTGCCAGAGAAATGCACATTTATCCATGCGACAACTTTCACATGCAGCGATGAGATCAGGCTTGATATGGTTTGGAGAAACATGACGAGTTTGCACATGAAAACATGTTTGAGTGAACTGTCATTTTACTATCCGACAACTGAATGCAACCGAATTTTTATGCTCCTATTTTTATTCTCTTGATAGTGCACGATTTCGCTACGTTTCCGGGGAGAATGAACATTCACGCGTGTGGATCAATTGTAGAATTCTTGCGTGATTGTGCAACACAAAAAAGTTCATTTAGGTAAATTGCAAAGGACATGATGGATTTGAAACGCCATAAACGAACATCAACAGATTATCAATTCTTACAACAGCAAGATGGAGTAATGAAAGAGTCGAGCATTCATTTAGATGCACAGAAACGATCTGGAAATCGTCAAATCAAAATGTCAATATTTGCTGAGGAGGTTTCGTTCTTCGGAAGGTACAAACGAGTGCACACGGCTCTATTAGTTGGTTCATCCATTGAATTTAGCTTGAACATTTCCAACGCGCACATAAGTTCGTACTAGAGTGCTCATTGCATTAAAAAAAAGGAGAATATTCGAAGATGATGTTTGAATGTCGAAGAGGAACACCTAATTCAATCGGTTCCACCATAAGCTGAGAGATTTAAGCTGATTTCTGTGCGGCGAAACAACTCATCTGGTTGTTATTTGCAATTGTATTCTAATGTTGAAATGAATTGCTCGCGATGATCAATCCATAAGTCAGCCGTTCATTTAAAATATTCGAATGATTACTGTTTTTCACATGACACCACAAAAAAGATAAGGAGACAGATTTTTTGGCAGTGCAGGAATTGTACAATATGAAGCGTTCATGTTTAGTTGATGAGTGATTCGAGGTAACTTTTGGTTAGTGATTCACAAATCGAATGATGTTTACTGGTGATGCAGAGAATATCAGCTTCGATATTTACTATTGTGAAAAAGCTATCAGGTTCGAAAGGCGATCAGCCAGTGGCTGGCATCGATTTTTAACCTGATAATGCTTCGTAAGGAGATAATTCTGTGCAATTTTGGGTGGATACGTAAACCAGTTCCGCCTCACCAACAATCAACAATACATACGCTCAAAATTATTTAATTGGACGTCGCCAGTCAACAAAAAAAAATTGGTCACATCATGGGCATATATTGCTTTTTTGTGTGTGCATGCCGGATAAATGTCGTTCATTTCTGAAGTATTCGAGTGTAAATTTAGATTTATGAGTGTAGATACATAACGATTGTAAACAAAATCGCTATTCGAAAAATTTCGTCTCATCCAGGCAAAAGAAGCGATAAAAAGAGTGGCAACAATTTTTTTTGAAAAATTAAACAATCTTCCGAGTACTGTTGACATAACATTACATGTAGAACAAGTAAACCTCTCCTGAGGAATGCGTACACCGATCGTCATCTATTGAACAGCCTCGAAGAATGATCCGAAACATTTCTACCGTAATCGAAACAATGAATTCGTTTCAAGCCTAAGCCTACAGTAGGTTTGCAGATAAGTGAATTGGAACGGATAGCTGACTAGAGATATGGTTATGAAATGAGCCGAAACGATGATAATTACATTTGAATGCAATTATCATGTAGCAATCGTGAAAAGTGCCTGCAGTGAGGCATTTGTTCTCTTCGAAATGCATCATTCCCAAAGACTGAGAGCCATAAGTTGATGTATTGTCACGAAAATGTTCGTAGTTTGTGATAATGTGTTCGATCAAATAGATTTCATGAATGAATTGCTGTGGATAATTGTGGTTGCAGTTGAGTTGTACAACACACATATAAGTAGGATTGTGAGCGCAACAACATGGTGTGCTTGCAAAACTGAGGAATGAATCCGGTTGTGAGTTTTGATTGATTCATTCAGGTTGTCGTAGACGAGCAACGCTTCTGTGAGCAGCATAGTGCCCACATCCATCATACAATAATAATAATAAATACACACACATAATGCGTAATCCGCACAACCAACCATTAAAATTCTCCTCATTCATTCTCAACTGCCAGTCAACCATCAACCAAAGAACCACCCCGTCCGTTCCTTCCTCCTTCGTTGCCTCATTCAACAACACTCACTTGTTGTGTTGTTGCCATTGTTGTAGTAGCACAACTTTTCATTTGTAACTGCTTATCACTGTCATTGTTACCGTTCTCTTGGTTGCTGCACTGTTGCGATCATGTCCTTTCAACAAGCAACGCCTAAGGCACGTCAACCTCTCGGTGGAAGACAACCGCGAGACTCGAGTGGTAACCGTTTTGGTTTCGTTCAATTACTTCTTGAGCTTTGCTTCATTGTGAAACTTATCCAGATTTTTAACAAGCGATTTACTACCACACGAATACTTACGAATTACTTCGTTGAATTGTATTCACTTCTTTTCCTTGATCAGGGATGCAATTTTCCTAAG